CCCTCTGGAATCGATGAATCGGGTCATAACAGGTCGAAAATTGAACACTTTCGCACGCTTCGCATTTCAAAGATATTACGTCTAGGGAAATCTAACCAACGTGACCTCTTTTATAGACTCTTCGTCGTCTTTAAAATGTAAGTTATGTAGAAATTGGTTGCTTAGAATTCGAAGCTTTTGGCCATGCGAAAAAGGAATGTGCTCTCTTCTGTTACAAAAAAATGTCGGTGAAGAAAACCTCTTTGTTCACCATGTGCCATTATTCAGAATTCCACAAAATCACGTATGTAAATTTCTGAAGGAATGATCTTCAAAATGACGTAAAGTTTTCTTTGGGCAAATGTTTTCTTGCGACGCAGGAAACTCTTCTAAGTAGCGCACGGAAGACATAATATCACGCACTATGTTGATTGCGTGACCAAAGAGTTAAGGAGCATTCCTGCCTTCGAAATGACTTCGGATTGAACAGTAGAACTTTTTCAGAAACAAATGACATAGCCATAACCAGTTTCGTCAAATTACGTCGCTCTTTATCATCTGAAGTTTTTTTCTACAGAGATGTTCCGCCATCTTTCTGTCTAGTACGATTATGGACCAGTGCCAGTAACGGATACGATTAAAAACTTTGCTGTTCTCTTGCATACGAATCTTAAGTTTCTGCCTATTGTTTAACTTTCTCTATGTGCTTACCCATGCCTTTTAACTAGCACTCGATAAAAACCAACAGAGTTTTCAAAGGGAGGTTTTTGCAAGAATTAAGTGGACTAAGTGAGGGCTTGCATGACCCAATTAGCATAATTGCAGTTATGGTCGCTCGACGGTCATTTTCTAAAATAAGCACAATTACGTAAAAGAGAAAAAGCAAGTCTAAATATCAATTTGGCTCTGATTTTGCCTTTATTTTTACCTAAGTTGATTTTAAGTTAAGCTGGAGTGAAAACACTTTTTAATTACCGCAATGTCTGTTCGCTTTGTGACGTATAGGCAAGGCAATTAAATTTACAAAACTTAATTAACCGCGAAAGAGTCAATATCGCTTGTCTTAACTGTCACTGCTCTTAACAGCAAATAACCTTTTCGGCGCTTCTAACAAATTTCAGCAATTTAAGAAACTCAGAGCAGTCAAACAGCTGCTCGCCGTTTTCGTCTTTCTCAGACCTCGTTAATCTTGAGACACTTGCAGCACCTGCCTTTTGTCCCGTTTGTTCTCTAGTCTCAAACTTGGCTATCAAGTAGTCCTTTTGCTTATCAGTGAAACGGGATTGCGAGAACGACTCTGCTTTAGGGCCTATCCCATTTCAAGAAAAGCTACAGACGATGACGGGTGGATTCCGTGTCCAGCAGTTGCGGCACAGCACTCGGTCCCTTCTCCAGTCTAAAGGCATACCCTAGCACTGCGCGGTCATAAAGAGTTTCATATTCAAGAACATATTTGTGTCTCCCACATTCGAGATGCTTCTGTAAAGACGAATGGCGTTGATAGGACTTAATGCAACCCTCTTCCGAGCAGAAAAAAATATTTTAGTTGTGGAATCGCGCGATTCTTCACTTGAATCATCGGTTCCTTCATCAGTGCTGTCTTAGTGCTTTTGAGATGTTTTAGCAAACATCGGCTTGGTAGGAACAAAATTAGCTTTTATGTTTTCGCTTGCTGCACTGCATTCAAGTGTTGAAACTTCGTCCTGGTCAGGAACATGAAACTTGCTCCAAGGAATGAATTTTGTAGCCGGATCTCCATACTCTGACACCTTCCTCGCCATACTGAACGTTGTTGACCAAGCTCACAACATCCCATTTCACTGGCTTTTTGATGGAAGACAAAGGAGGCCTGCACAACACTGCTTCTACTCCAGGGACACCCCCAAATGATTCTATTGCCTCCTGCATTTGAGATAAAGACTCTATATCGTGGCCTGAATTCAAATGGATGGCCATATGGGATTTGATCTTTACAGCTTTCCGATCGCAAGATCCCTTCCCTCCTTGGAGATCTCTGCTACTTCGCTGGCTGTAACCAGGGTTAAAGCGCAGTGGTAATACCCGGCGTTGTCTTGTCTAAGATAAATGGATTGTAAATGGGCATGACATCCTTCAGTCGACGAAAGACGTCGTGAAGTATGGCAAGAACTGCAGAACTGTCCTAGTTACACGTCTCAAATAAGTGCACAAATGTCATCATCTCAATCTTACCATCATTTCCCTTTCTCGTCGCAACCGTGATATGCCATGGCAGATCTCTCTGGTTTGTTGAACGCAGTAAATGCGCTTTCTAGGATTTTATGCTTTGTTTGGACTGTAGAGTCACAAAGGCCAAATCCTCTTTCGTATCGGTTGTGCCTCCCACTTCCTGTAC